GGCATGCGGGGCTGGGCATGCGGGGCACGGGCATGCGGGGCTGGGCGGGGACCCGGAGAGGCAGGGGCCACAGCCTGACTCCGCGCTGTCTCAAAAACGTCCTCGGCTTTGCAAAGAGAGAAAGGATAAGAGAGAAAACAGTTTCAATATAAAGCTTCATTATGGGATTTTCACAGAAACTGAAGTCAGCCAGAGGACAGAAAGGTGCCTGGACTGTTGTGGCAATTTTTAACGCGCTCTCGAGTACGTGAAAGTGTCGCGTCTTGAGAAAATGGACCATTTCACTGCACATTCTTTGGCGCTGAGTTACACCGGCGACCGAAGTCCTTCCAGGCAGGCCAGGGTCCAAAGCGCAGGACCCGGGTTGGGCTGGCAGGGGGACTGGCCTGGGGCTGCAGAGGGCGGCCAGGGGCATCTGCGGGTGACCCAAGTGACACAAGTGACCCAAGTGACCCAACGCCAGCCTTCGATGCTGGCCTCTTTGTGAAGGAAGGATGCGGGTAACGAGGCAGAGCCCAGCGGGAGGAGACAAACTGAAGTTCAGGGTCTGAGCGCAGGGGTGGGGACCAGGGCGCCTGGGAGCAAACGCGGTCGCTGAGGGATTTGGGGAGAGCTTTTCCTGGGGAGCCTGGGGCTGGCCCCCCATGCGGACAGGCCTGTTGGGACCTTGGGAGCTAGTGTACTAGAAAGTACAGTAATTGGAACTTCTATGCTAGAAACTACAGTGCCTTGTTTACTGAATACCTGTCATTCATTTTGATGATTTTAGATGGTTGGTGGACTCTGGGACAGATTTCAAACAAGATCTTTCTTGGCACCAGTCAAACCAGTCACTTTGTAAGTTTTATCTGCTCATGTTCTCATCTCTCGATTTTCCCGTCACATATTTGTGGTTAAGAATCGGCTGATCTAGCCCATGGTTGGGGGCGGGGGGCACACCCTCTGGAGAGCAGCCCAGAAGCCCGCAGACTGCCGCCCCGTGACAGGAAAGGACCCACATCCCAGTTCAGTTGTTTAGTGCTGCTTCCTCTTGTTTTCTCTTAACCTCCTTAAAATCTAGACCATTAAATATACCACCTCAATCTAAAGACAAATCGGATATGAAGAATCGCAATGCTGCAAAATCCATGGACTTCAAGGAATTACAAATCGTTTTCCGTCAACTTTTGTGTAACGTAGTTCTGAGTTCTGCTAATGCTAAGAACTATGGCTTAATGACTCATCCTCCCGCATAAGTAATTTTGTTCATTTCGTCTAAAAACTGGCACCTCGGCCTTTGAAAATGTTAGTATTTGTGTTCTCACTGCAACCCACATTCCAGGTCATCGTCTCGATTTTGATTTTTTAAATTTAGTCTTGAATATTTCGTATACACAAAACGTATGAATAAGAATATAATTCGTGTGTCATCTTCCAGCTTTAGCAATAAAGCACTGGCAGCCCCGGGGCAGCGGCTGTGTGCTTCTCTCTAAGCACCTGGCCCTTCCTCAGGGAGCGCCGCTGCCGTGGCTGCGATGTTTCATGTCTTCGTGTATCCCTACGACCTTTAAACCACGTGTGTTATTCTCGACCCAAATGTGGTATCGAGGTGTGTGGTTTAAACTCAGTATAAGTGGTCTCTTACACACATTTATACAACTTCGCGTTTTGTTCGGTGTTGTGTTTGTGAGATTCATACAGGTGGGCATCTGCATCTCCAGGTGTCCATTTTCCCTACTATGTAGTCTTTCATTGAATGGATATACCACAATTTATTCATCCATTGTCATAGTTTAACTTTTTTTCTGATTTTTACTGCAGTTGGAAACAATGTCCTCATGTCTTCATTACCCAGGCATAAAAACATGTGTGGGTTTCATACTCACATACTCACGTCCACCGTGGCTGCACCAAGAGCTACCTTCATTTCCTGAGTTTCGTCCCATTCTTCTCCAATGAGTTTTACAAGTGTCTGTGCCATCACCAATGCTTGAGTCCCCACACTGTGGTCAGCATTGGAGATTTTCAAATTGAAAAAAATTCCAATTTTATGAGCATAACATTGTACTTCATTACAATATTAACTTACATTTACCTGACCACTGATCATCATTTTTTATAAGTTATGACTCATTTGAGCGTACACATCTATAACTTACCTGATCATATATTTTACCCTTTTTTTCAGTTGGGTTTTTTATGTCTTACTTATTGATTATAGACATTTTTTGCCCATTATTCTGGATAAAAACCCTTTATTGGTGACATGCATCAAAGTATCTCTTTCCCATCTGTGACTTTTTTCTATTTTATAGTGCCCTTTGCTGAACCAAAGTTTTGAATTTTGCTGTAACTGAACTCACCCATTTTCCTCCATGTCTAGTTATTTTTGTGGCGCTTTTAATAGATATTTCCTACCTAGAAGTGATAAAGATTTTACCCTTCTTTACTTACATTTTTTCTAAAAAATAATAAAGTTTTGCTTTTTGTGTTTATTTATTTAAGCCACTTGAAATTGATTCTTGCTTATCTTAGTCCAGTTTAAAGAATGGACTCTACTAAGGATTTTAATGAGTTACTCTTAGCCTGTTGGTCACAACTTGTTAGTGGGGAGTCACAACCAGCAAATTAAATAAAATAGAAAATATGAGAATGAATCACATGGAGCTTTAAACAGATCTGTATATTTTGCAAATAATATTATAGCCAATTATGGAGAATAGTGTGAAGCAGGCAGAAAATACATAAGCAAGATACATGCTTTCCAAAATAAGATTATCTCATTTTTTGTCTCTGGCGTTCCATCCGATTTTCCAGTTTGATGATAGTCAATTTGATCATCACCTTAACGTAAGGGTTAATTTTGGATATTTAATGTTGTATTTACCTAATCCAAAGTAATTACAAAATAATGAAGATTTTTAACCTTAGCAAAATTAATGAGAGTTTTGGGTATAATTTCAGTTATGAAAAAACAATATCAAATCTAACATTTTTCAAATCTTTGAAAATCATATCACTTGATTAAAACCAGTTTAAATTGCCTGTAAAAAAATTTTTTGTTTGTTTTTAGAAGAAAAAAGGATAATGAAGTGGAAATATGCAAAGTTTAATTAAGATTAAACTTAATCTTAATTAAGTTTAACTGCCAAATCTGGAATTGCAAATGGTGACAATATTGGGGAAAATATTGGGTCTTGTCAGCAAACTTAGATTTTATTGAGCCATATTCTAAAAACAACGTGTAAATTTTTTGGATAATAATTATTTAAAAGATGGTTTTGCCAAATATATAAAATACCCCAATATAAATAGTAGATTCTATTGTATAAACTGAATGGTAATAATTTAAATAAAATATTGAAACATTCAAAAATGTAAGATCCTTGTGAACACTACAAGCTGAAATCATTAATAATCACCATTCAAATATCTCTTGAAAGAATGAAGATATAAATCACTGGCACTGACTGTATTATATGAGTGATGATGGAAACCTTTCTTAGCATCTTTTTACTTAAATATCATCTGGTAAAGTAGCAAATGGCTCACCCCGATGATAAAATTGTTATCCAGTTGATATGGATATATTGCGTTTTTTAAATGATAAATCACTTGCTGGATTAAGAGCTATATGTCTTAGTGAGGATGACCACACCTCAGAGCTGCTGAGGCGACCGCTCGCCCCGCAGCCTTCCTCCGTGCAGGTGTTGCTCCCAGGAGCCCATGCGCAAACCTGTATGCAGGTGTGGCTGTCAGCTTGGTTCATAATCTCCAAAGTCACGGAACAACTGAGATGGCTTTCTGCAGGTGGATGGAAAAGGTACACTGGACAAACACACTAGAGTGTACCTATGCAGTGGAGTCCACCCCACAGCGACAAGGACAAATGGGACACAACGATGTGGATGAACCTTAAATGCATGTTGCTCAGTGAAATGAGCCAGACCCAAAGTGTCACATATCGTATGATTCATTTGTATGACATTCTGGAAAAGGCAAAACAGAAAGGACGGGAATGGATCGGTGGCTGCCAGCGGTTGGTGGAGAGGGAAGGAGCTGAGCGCAAAGAGGCGACACGGGGCACATCTATGGAGCTGGAACTGCTGTGTGTGGCTCTGTGGGTGGCGCTGCATTTGTCAGCCCGTAGAACTATGCACCACGAATAACAAACTTTGCTGCATGCAAATTAAATATTAATTAATTACTTAATATCTACCAGGATGTCATGGGAGTCCAGGATGGAGTGCAGATCGTGGCAAACGCATCTGTGATACACATAAATGACGTAACTACCGTTCAGTGCATGGGGAGCAAAGGAGTGGTCCTAAGTAAATGTGTACCTGAAAGAATTTGGAAACGGTATTTTGACTGAACACTAACTGTAAAGACAGAAAGAAGTGTGTAGAAGCCTTTACGTTGCAGGTGGTGAATGGGTTTCTCACGGGGCAATGGGGTGGCGATTCTAAAATTTCTTACGTGTATACTAGGTTTGAGCAAAAAAAGCAAGTATTTGGTAGGTAATGGGAGGCAGGTGTCATAGGGTCAGAGAACGACATTAGAAATGAGTGAGGGACACAGGCTAAACCGAGCCCCGTGCGCCGATCCCGTGAGAGAGCCTGTGAGCCCACGGCCCGCGAAGGAGCAGGGAGCAGATAGAAAATGTGTATAGATGTGTGGGTACGCGTGGCCTCGTATGCCCCCACCTATTCCTATCCCTGGCCCCTGAGAGAGCCTAGACGTAGGGACACCCCAGCAGCCGCAAGCACATCTAGCGGCCAGAAGTTGGTTTTTAAACACCATACTCTAATACAAGAAGTTTTGAGATCCTTGGAGAAATGGCTGATACTAGGGCTGGAGCTGGAAAAAAGCAATGTAAACGCGGGGCTCCTTGCGCTGCCCTAAGCCACCAGTGTCTTGTGTGAGTCACTGAACTTCGTGCGGTGGCTGCTTCACTGACACCACGGAGGACAAGCCTCGACGGCCTACAAGCCCCACTCAAGCATGAAAAGCCCGTGTGTCTGAGCAAATGGGCCGTGCGGCTTCGCCAGCTACGGCACGCGAGTCTGACCGCTGAGAGGGTGCAGGGAGGGGGAACCCACGTGGGCGGGTGGCCGGGGAGCGGCTGGATGGTGAGCGGGTCCACGCGGGCGACCGAACGCTCTGCGCTCAACTCGTCTGGGTCCCACTTCGCTTAAGGCCGCGTCTTCAGTCCACGGCCACGCCACCCTGAACACGCCAGATCCCGGCTGATCTCGGAAGCTCAGCAGGGTCGGGCCTGGTTAGTACTTGGATGGGAGACCACCTAGGAAGCCCAGGTGCTGTAGGCATAAAAAATAAGGGATTGTAAGCTGACAAGGTCCTTGCAATCTATGAGGTCAACCAAGGGTTGCCTCACCTAAAATTAATTAATTAATTAGTTAATTAATTAATTAAAATAAAAAACTACATCTTCAGATCATTCCTGTTCAAAATTGCAAACTTTTGGAGGCCAATTTCTATGAGATGTCTCCGAAGACTTGCTTTTATTTTAATAAGAAATACTGTGATAATGTGTGTTTATTAAGCTGATGTCAGAAAGTCAATTACTTGTGTTTTCTCTTTCTCTAAGTGTGAGTCCAAGCTCGAGGAGCAGCTACGTTCCTCTCTACACGTAAGTCATGTTCGTTAATGCTTTAGAATCGACTAGATTTGCCTCTAGGTCGTGGTTGCTTTCAACCCACTCACGTTTGCAATTCGCTTTTTAAGACAACGTGTGCTTTGTGACAGATTTCTAAAGTTTTCCTCGCCCGGCGCCTGTTTAATGTCAGGATATTCATTAAATATTTGATAAAGATTTTAATAAAAGAAAGGAAGGGGGAATGGTATTTTTATGGTTTCCCAAGATGGTTATTTTAGGAAATAAAATACGCTGGATGCTTCTGGCATAGGTGTTGTCACCCAGAAGGACTTTCACCCTCGCTGTGGAAGATGCGCTGTCCCGCCGACGCCCCGGCGCTGGGCTGCAGCCTCTGTCTTGTCTAAGCTGGACTCTGGCCATCTGTGACATGCGCCATCGCGGCGTCTCTGCTTTAGACGGGAGCATCTCCTCTGTCTTAGTCTGTGCAGGATGTCACAACGAAAGACCGCAGGCCGAGCGCCTTATCCACAGCGGACACTGACTGCTCACGTTTCTGGAGTCTGGACACCAGCCTGGACCGCAAGGCCCCTCTTCCCGGCCACGGAGCTCTCGTAATCTCATTCTCGAGGGCTCCGCCCCCACGCCTGAAGCACCTCCCACCTCCTGACACCATCACCTTGGGCATTAGAACTTCCACGCGGGGATGTGGGCGATAAACATTAGGATCGCAGCACCTAGGTACAAAGCAACCGAGTAAGCGGAGGGGCTGGGCCTGTAGTCTCGGCCCCGCCCCCATCATGGCTCCCCCCACCCCCCATGTGGAGCTGACCAGGCTCCCAACCTCGCCTCAGCGGTAGTCCAGGACACTCTCCCATGTGGATCCAGCCTTTTCTCAGGCCCCTAAGGCGCATGGCTGGCCGCCGAGGACCCCACCTCCAGGGAGCCCCAGGAACTCTGGCCAGGGCCAGTCTTCGCCTTGGCCCAGACTGCCTCCCAGTGCGCAAAGCCGAGGGGTCCCAGGGCTGCAGAAGGAGCCCGATCCTCTGCTCAGAAACACAAACCTGAGAGCACGTGAGCCCAGTGACTCCTATTCTGGAAAAGGAAAAATGTTTTTTCTGTCTTTTTTTTCGTAATTGTTCCATTATCATGCTTTAAATTATTTATTTATCTATTTCTTGCATTTTCAGTTTTTGATCTATTTTAGCAAATAAGATTTGTTCTGGAAGGTAGGACACTTTATTATTTCTTCCGTATTTCTTGTAAAGAAACACACATTGTCTTTTCTCTTCCCCCTGACAGTGGTTATGTGCAGTCCACAAACGCCGATGACATTGACAACCCCTTTGGGGACATCACATCTCTGGCCAAGCCTCGGAGCTCTAAAATTCTTTACACAAACACGAGTCGGTGAGTTCAATTTTATTGAATTATTATTCGATAATATGCCCTATGTATATTGCATCGTGTGTCCACCACCCAAAGTTAAATCTCCATCCCTCACCATGTGTTTGACCCCTTGACCCTAAGCTTCCTCCCCACCTCCGCCTTTTCACTCTGGGCACCACTAAACTGTTGTCTGCGTCTATGAGTTCTTGTTCGTCTCGTTCATTGGTTGCTTTCAGTTTTATATCCCATAAATGAGTGAAATCTTTTTTTTTTTTCTTT